TATTTACAGATGTCTATATTATACATTAGCAGCAGAGAATATGAGAATATGAATATGAGCAGAATAAACATCAGAAATAATATCAACAGGTAAAGTGACGGTGAAAGACAGAATTATCAGATATGAAATAATACAGTAGTACTGATAACAGTAAATATCAGATATGTAGTACTGTAGTAGTACTGATAACAGGTAAAGTGACTAGTGACAAAGTTACTAGTGAATTATCAGTGACACTTGTGCAGACTCAGCAGTTCCTGTTACACATTCTCGTTGTACAGTCTGACAGCAGCAAGTATACTTTACTTGCCAGGGGTTACAGTGTTAGATAATCATTTTCTTTCCTGACAGAAAGAGTTGTAAAGGTAAAATGTTGCGACCCATTGTTGTCGTTGCTAGAAAATATATGACTTTTTTTTTGCTTAATTTGCCTGTGAGTCACTTTTTGGGCTGAGAGCTAATTGGCAGAGTGAGGGTGTACTCTCATTTTAATAAACGACTGTATGAATGTGCTCCAGCCAGAATAGAACCAGACTATTTTGAGAGAGAGGAAATATAGATGGATTTTATTTTTTGTTTGTGGTCTGAAAGTTAGATACCCCAGCTTTTATGTTTTCCATTGGGACTGTTATTTATTGTCTCTGATTCAGGCCAAATAACGCTTTTGCGCCATCTAGTGGATATTCATGATGATGAGTCATAAAAGATTTACAACAATCATCACAATACTTTTACTAATACTACATTTACTACTATAATTAGTACTACCACTACTACTACTACTACTACTACTACTACTACTACTACTACTGCTACTACTACTACTACTACTACTACTACTAATGATCATCACTTTTAAGACAAGATAATTTATATGTCCCACAGCGGGGAAATTTCAATCTCATCGTTGTGCACATTACATAAAAAGATTGCACACGTCAAACAGGATCTATTATTTAATTATAATAGATAATAACATTAAAATAATAATAAATACTCCTACTATTATACATATATTTATTATTATTATTGGTATTATTATTATTGTTATTATTAGTAGTAGTAGTAGTAGCAATGATAGTAATATAATAATAATCAATAGTATATATCAATAGTATTTTTAGTTTTATTATTATTAATAGTAGTAGCAGCAGTTTAGTGGCAGTAGTAGCAGTAATAGTAGTTGTAGTAGTAGTATAGGGTTATCTTGCGATTGAAAAGTATGGTATTGGCCACTCATGTATGGTATTCTATAAATATCTATTCAACTTTAATCAATGTTTCCTGATGAAAGAGGATATATTTTTCCTCCTTGGTTTCACCTCTTAGGGCGACAGTAGCCCTGAAGGTCGTGGGTTCGAGCCCACCGTAAGACCTACTTCACGACTCCCACTGATGACTGCTGTCGTTGTGTCCTTGGGCAAGACACTTAACCCTACTTTGCCCAAAGCCCCAACTGAAAGATCTCAGCTCCTGTGGACTCACCACCTGCAGGAGGATCAGTGAGGGGCTGGTGCTCTGTGTACTGGGTGCAGCTCTGACTGCCACCCCCCCGACCCAGAAATGGATTAAGGGGAAGAAAATGGATGGATGGATGGATGGTTTCACCTCTTGTGTCTGACAGCTGACCAAAAACCATCCACACAGTTTTGCCTAAGTCTCAGCTTGAGAGGTCACACATATCAGATGGTATTAAGTATTAAGTTGTCATGTATAATAACTATCTTTTTTATTCTATATTTGTTCATTTTATTTTATTTTATTTGACACACAAAAACAGACATTAACTTAAGCTGAGAAAAAAATCAGTTCCTTTAAACATTTTCCATTTTAAGACTTGCAGGTTTTATTTTTACAATATTATATAGTTGCTTTTTCTTTCATGTATAATAATTATCAGTGACATCTCTGTGGCCGGTGCTGACGCAGCGTTTGGCCTGTGACGCCGGTGACGCTGCATGTACACGTAGCCGTATGTTGAAGATGGTTCCTGTGTAGACTCTCTATGGTCAGGATCATTGCCCTGGACGGTTGTAAGCTTCTTTTTAACTACTACACGTGTATTTTAACTGGGAAAAATCAATGTATGATACGAATAGCTACCATACAATGTGACTGTGTTGGCATGGACCGAGGAGATTAGCCCTTAGCAAGCTTTCGCAACTTAGCCAAGGATACCACAGTGTTGTTGCTACATTGAGCTAACGCTACATGCTAAAGCTAATGCTAGGTAAATACAAGCTGCTACCCAACTAAAACGGATTTCACAAGCGTGCGACCTTTGGCACGCAGCTGCTAGTTTCTCATGTTGCAGTAAAGCTGTGTTTCTGGTGGTTTTTTACAAATATGTGAAGGATATTTGCATGACACGGTTGTTAAGTTACTAAGGAGTATCGTAATGTAACCTAATGTTGGGGTTAACAAATGCATGCAACAGCTAAGCTAATCCAAAGCACTGTCTCTGGTTCGACCTTTGAATATAGCTGTAATTGATGTCGCTGTTGAGACTTGAAATATTAAAGGTGGTTTATCATCTTGCTGTAATCGGACCTGTGTGGTGATGTTTCCTTGTGTTAAATGATAGGTTAGTTTAGTACACACCGGCTATGCTAATGTAACATTCATAGAAGAGCGATGCAGCATTGGATTGAATGAGTTAATAGGATGTAGCGCTATGTGTCTGGATAAAGGGTGTTTGTTCAATTATTGTTGTTTATATCACTGGGTATTCGTCAAGGGTTTGGCATGAGAACCCCTTCTGATAGATTTGTATTTTGTTTTAATATGAATTATAATTTGTGAGAACGTCAGTGTGCCTAGTTCAGTGGCACAATACTGGCCACGTTTTACCTGCCACGTTTAGCTATTCAAACAATGATTTAAACTCAAATATAGGTGTGGCAACGGTCCTCAGATAAGCAGTACTTTATTTTGGCCAACCTCACCCTCTATCGCTTGTCTGTGCAGGTGAGCCTGAAATTGGTTTCATCACATTGTGGTCCTGAGGCCTGTTTTCTTCTGCAACAATGCAGCCCCCTCCTCGGAGTGGACCACCTGGAGCATCCAGTGGGCCTCCTCGGAGCGGACCACCTGGAGCATCCAGCGGGCCCCCATCTGGTGGTCCAAATATGTTTCGCAGAACTCGGCCTCAGAAGCACGCGTCAGCTGTCCCTCCAGTCGCCCAGCCTATGACGCATCCTTTTGCCTTTGTCAGGGCACCTACACCTGTAGCGACTGGCGGTCCAATTCCAAACAGCAACCCCCCTCCAATGCAACCTGCTCCTAGCAACTTCTATTCTCCGAGCGGGTCTGGACAACCTCCACAGCCACACTCATTACACGATGTCCCCCCTACTTCTTTAGGTTCAACAACACCCTCCCTCCCTGGAGTAACACTGTTTAATCCTTCAACTGTAGCACCTCCTGGGGTTAGCACTGCAGCTGGAGCCGCTGCATTTACTCCTGCGTATACAGAGCAAAGTTATTTTAATTCAAGAGAGCCCACCCCATCTCTGGTCAGTGAGCCACACCATGAGGCTCCAAGGCCTGGATCCAATCAAGAATTCCAAGGTCACCCACCTCCGGTTTCGTATACTTTTCAGCCAGTGCCTCCGCTTGCATCCTCATCTTTGTGGGCACCTGATCACGGAAGTCGCCCTCCATCCGTTCAAAATTATTTTCAACCAACTAGTGACCCTCCAACACAACCTATGCACATGCAGCCATATTCCCAGATGTTTCCTCAACACACTCAATCACCACAACATAACGCCCACACTCCTCAGACTCTATCAAACCCCCCTGCTGTACAAGCCCCTGCTGCACAGGCCCCTGCTGTACAAGCCCCTCCTCAACCTCAAGGAAGGCCTCAGTACATTGAATCAATTACACCCCAGCACCCCAACACACAGCCCCCAATGCAAAACTACTTTAGTCAAAGCACGAACGTCCCTCTCTTGGATTCAGGCTACCACCAAATGGGGTCTGTCCTCACTGAAGGTCAGCCCTCTGTTGATTCTGCGTCTGGTGCCTCTGCTGCTGTGTCTGACCAAATCCCACAGATGCAAGAGTCCAGCACGCTGTCCATGTTCTTTAGAGACGATGTTGAAAATGAAGAAACTTTAACAGGGGAGGCGAATAAGGCAGTTAATGGTATAGCTGAGCCTTTTCCTCACCAGAGCAACCATTCGGTGAACTCACAGCTGTACAGTGATCATTCAGACCCTGTCTTTGATTTTCACAGGACGCCTTTACAACCACCTCCACAAATGCCTTATATGACTGATCAATCTACAGCAGAAGGAAATAACCAGAAACCAACTGAATCTCATTATGACCATGTGGAGAACCTGGAGTGTGTTCCGAATCAAGAGGTGCTTCCTGAACGCCACATCAGCCCAGTCTCGACTCCAGCTCAAGTATTAGACCAATTGGAAACGGGACCCAATCTTGAAACTCCAGATTCTGCTCCCAGACCAATCAGATCTGCAAGTGTCTCTTCTAACTACAGCAATCTGAGTCATGGAAGTGGCACTGGTGGTCGCCGTCACCAGGGTGTCGTGGGCACCTTCATTCAGCAGGAAAGCCCTCGGCTTCCTGATGATGTGCATCAATCTGCTGCTGGAGGTTATTTTGAGCAGATTGATTCAGCTTCGTCTGTTGAAGGTGCAGGTGTACCTGCACAAATTGCCGCAGAGAATTGGCCGTCCACCCCCAGTCCTCCCAAACCAGTTGGAATATTTCAGGCTAGTGCTAACAGCTCGTTTGAGCCAGTGCGATCACACAGTGTAGGTGTGCGTCCTGCTGAAGTTGATAGAGCTAATATGGTCGCTGAGGGTGGAGCAGATTCAACAACTGGCAATTTAGAACAGCCACCGGACAATATGGAGAACATTTACTGCTTAGGGCCTCCCCTGCCCTCAGAATCATTTGGAACCCTGCCTCTTGCAGTGAATCCACTGGTTCACCCTCACTCGAGACCATCATCTCGGGCATTCGGAATGAGTCGGCCCTGTGAGAGTCCTGCCACGACTCTTTGGGCTCAGACTGACCCCAGTAGTTTAGGCACAAACATTATGCTTGCTCCCGCAGCCCCAACAGTCCTTGCTCCTTTAAGAGAGCCCAGTGGAGATGTTATTCAACCACCTGAAGATGGACCCTTGGATCTCCATGGATCACCACAGTGTTCTCAGTCAGCTTCACTTCAGCATTCAGAAAACCTGGAGAATCCACCAAAGGTGAGTGAGGCAGAACCTGCTGACACTCAAGGAAACCTCGGCTATGCTTCGCTTTTGGTGTCTGACTCACTTCAACAACCTGTTTTGATTGCTCCTCCAGTGTCTAATTACACTGTAATTCCTCCAAGTATCCAGGCGCAGGCGGGTGTCCCGCCACCTTCAAACTATTCAAATCAAAACCCACTTTTTTCTTTATCTTCTAACCAGAGCCCTTTAAATTTGACGAGAGAGAAAACGGAACATACCAGTCCCGAAAGGACTTATCAGCCACCACCTGTGCGCCCTCCACTTTCCAGGGGAGAGTCAGTAGCAAGAGGGAGTCAGTCTCATGTTAGTGGTAATTCACAGACTTTTTCTGGGGCTCCTGTTTCTAATCATAATGTACCAACCAATTATGAACTGCTTGATTTTTCTATGCATCAATCACAGACTCAAAACCCGACATCTGGGCATTCATCTTCATTACAAGATTCTCAGCAGTGTAGTAATGGGTTTTACCTACAGGTCACTAAAGATGCTCAGCAGAGTGTCAAAGCAGAGAGCAATACGTCTGCCCCAACACCTGCATCCTCCTCCAGACCCCGTAACCCCGAGCCGACCACTCCGCAGCTAGCACAGGAACCGCCGAAAGCTTCTACCGTTCAGGTCCCACTGCAGAGACACAACAGTGGCCCTCATGTGGCTGAAGCTTCGTCCACAGCTTTAGCACATGGGGCTCCTGCTGCTGAGACTCACCCTCCTGCCCCACACCCTCCCGCCGCTCACCCTCCTGCCCCACACCCTCCCGCCGCTCACCCTCCTGCCCCACACGACTCACTTCCACAGAGCACAGTTCCAACAGACGGTTCTCAACCTCCACGACCCCCGTCCACCGCAGGGAGTCAACAGGGCTACGGGCCGCCTGCTGTTCCTCCTCAGGGGCCACCCGGACCAGGATACAGAGGATACTATGCAGAATACGCTTCTAGACATTTTCCTCCTGCGCAATATCCTCCTGGACAGTATCCTCCTGGACAGTATCCTCCTGGACAGTATCCTCCTGGACAGTATCTTCCTGGACAGTACCCACCACCAGCTGGAGATGGAAGGGCGCAGTATTACCCAGTATGTGTTCTTCTTCTGTGGCTATATAGACCGGATTTAAACAAATGAAGGATACAGCTGTCATCTTGTTTGTACTGTTTCAGGAGGATCCATACCGTAGCAGGACAGATCCTTGGTATGGGAGGTATGATGGAGTCTCTCAAACTGGATATTACGATCAGAACTACCAGTACAGAGAACCTCCACCAGAAAGACCCAGCTCCAGGACCAGTCAGTACTCTGATCGGCCTTCATCCAGGTCTGTCGAGAGGCCCGAGACGCAATATTAAAAAGTGACTATAATCACTCTAATCTAACATTATACATTTTTTCTTCTTTTAAAGACAAGGATATTCCGAAGAATACAGACCCAACACAGCTGCCTATAGTGAATACTATCCAGATTACGCAAACCAGTATAATTATCCAGGTATAAATATTCATAACATGTTGTATTGTTATTCACTGGAAAAGCATTTTAACTAAATTTTTATATTTGTATGTTTTCTCTTGTAGAATATGTCTATGGAGCGTATGATTCTCGATATAGAGGATATAACTGGACGGGTGAGGGCTACAGAAACAGAGACGCCCAGTACAGCCAACAGCAGATGCATCCAACCAGGTCTGTAGGCCTGTGTCACTCTATCAGCTAAAGGATGCAGCATTTGATACCATAAATTCCAAATACATGTTTTTTTTACATACATGTACATACATATACATGTACATACATATATCCTGCACAGACTATATTTTTACCTTTTAACATGTTTGCACACTTCTGTCTTTTGCACAACCTGAGTGACTCTATCTATGCCAAATGTGGTATGTAAATGTCTCCAGTGTGAGATCAATAAATTCTATCTTAACTTATGTCTACAGAAAAAATGGCTATGACGACCAGTGGCAGTACTACCCCGGTTATGATCCAAGCTTTGATGATGACTACCGATGGCGAGGAGATGCGTATAACGATGACTTTGACCGACGGAGCATCCACAGTGAGCAGTCGGCTCACAGCGTGCACAGCGCTCACAGTCAACACAGCAGAAGGAGCAGCTTCAGTTCACGCTCACAACAGGTTTGGGTTCAAGAAATGATTGTTAAAAAAAACTTCTTGCTAATTCATTATTTTTGGATAAACTGACATTGTGATTTCCTCAGAGTCAGGTCTATAGAAGCCAGACTGACCTCACATCCGCGGCCTTTGACAACACTTCATCCACGTTGGCTGTTGATTATTCCTATGGGCAGTATCCGAACCAGATTGACGCGTCACAGAGCTACAGCCAGTATCCATATTCATCTGGGGGCACAGCTGATGACACCTGGACAGCCCCTGATCAACGTATGGACACATTTCAATCAATCGACTTAGAGCGTCTTTCCTACACAAGGCAACACAAAAGCGCCTCACAAACCATATTACATCAGGCATAAATCATAAACATTAAAATCTATATAAACATTAAAACATACAATCCTACAGGGCATTAAAGGAATAGTTCACCGTTTTTACATACTGACAAATGTTCTTACCTTACCTTAGACTAGTTAATACGTACCTGTCTGGTCTTAGTCCGTGCGCTCTGTCATGCAAACGGAGCAAAAACGGGAGCACAACCGCAGCCTCCTCTGTATATTTTGTAGCACCAAAAGGTAGCTCCCGCTAGAAGCTACCAAACTCTTCCAAGTGTTCCCTATTAAATGTATATAGTTACGCGACGTGTTACACTGCAAAGTATAGTAACACAGAAATGTAACAGTCGATTTTCTCAGCGGATAAAACGGGTACTATATTGTGAGGCGTAGTAATCTGAGGGGCGCTACGTCCGCGCACTAACTTCTCTCCGGAGACTTCTCTCTCGCTCACTTCCGTCAATAGAAGCAGCGTGACTTGTAATACACACAGTAGCAGCGAGAGAGAAGTCTCCGGAGAGAAGTTAGTGCGCAGAGAAGTTAGGAGCGCTACGTCCGCGCACTAACTTCTCTCCGGAGACTTCTCTCTCGCTGCTACTGTGTGTATTACAAGTCACGCTGCTTCTATTGACGGAAGTGAGCGAGAGAGAAGTCTCCGGAGAGAAGTTAGTGCGCGGACGTAGCGCTCCTCAGATTACTACGCCTCACAATATAGTACCCGTTTTATCCGCTGAGAAAATCGACTGTTACATTTCTGTGTTACTATACTTTGCAGTGTAACACGTCGCGTAACTATATACATTTAATAGGGAACACTTGGAAGAGTTTGGTAGCTTCTAGCGGGAGCTACCTTTTGGTGCTACAAAATATACAGAGGAGGCTGCGGTTGTGCTCCCGTTTTTGCTCCGTTTGCATGACAGAGCGCACGGACTAAGACCAGACAGGTATGTATTAACTAGTCTAAGGTAAGGTAAGAACATATGTCAGTATGTAAAAATGGTGAACTATTCCTTTTAAAGCAAACATTAAAGGTATATTTGAGGGTTTTCTACTTCCAGGTGGATCCTCAAGACTTTCCAGAGAGGTTCTTTCAATTGTCCATCATTCTGGTGATCCGTGCTCGTCAAACAAAACAGAGTTTTGAGTTTTGTTCAAAAAGTGAAAAGGGTGGTTCTGTCCTAAAATTTGGAAAAATCCTCATGTACCTTTTTAATATCAAAAGAAATATTCAAAACATAAAACATTAAAATTAAATAGCCATGTTTTGTGTCTCTCAAAATGTACACATGACATCTTTTTTTTACTTTTTGTTCTAGCTCCTCCTCGTCCAGCAACCCCTGAAAAGTTTGCCATGCCTCACCGCTGCGCTCGTTTCGGACCTGGTGGACATTTAGTGCAAGTGCTTCCCAATCTCCCGTCCGCCGGACAGCCTGCACTTGTGGATATTCATAACTTAGAGGTAATGTCACGTTCCAGAACACCAGTGTCCCAACACAATTGTAATGAGTTAGTGTATGCTTGTGTTAATTATAAATGTATAAATGTCTAGACCATGCTGCAGGACACACCAGCTCAAGCCGAGCTCAGAGCGTTCCCAGGACCTCTTGTTAAGTAAGGCTTCCCTGTCTCTGGTTTTAATGAACTCGTCTTGGGTTTATCAGGACAAATTTTAAAGATTGTTTGACCTTTTTCAGGGAGGACACACATAAAGTGGATGTGATAAAGTTCTCTCAGAACAAGGCTCTGGAATGCTCACGTGACAACAACCTTTTAGACCGAGACTCCGCTCGCCTTCTCTGGGACTTTATTGTGCTGCTTTGTCGACAGAATGGGGTAAGAATTATGCAGTGCAGTACTTTCTGGACTATCAAGCACACCTGTACAGGAGCCGCAAAAATGTTGTACATACTGTATATAGGCTGCACTTAAAGAGCGACTAAACACCAAATCAACTTTTTTTAACTCATAAACTGCATAAGTATGTTTATTGTAGTGCTGTCTACATATCCTGGTCATTTTTTTGACATTTTAGTTCAAATTAGATAAAATATCACTTTTGAGCCAAAAAACGCTGTGTGGTGCCCTCTCAACCTTTTTGGTGGTACTACATTTGAATTTGGTTCTGGCCTCTCCATTGACTCTGAAGTTCTCTATGACATCAGTTGTTTTGTGTGACGTCAGTCTGTCAGAGCCAGTGATATAAACCCATCCAACTCACACACGCCCCAGCTGCAGTCTGGAGTATTCTGGCGCCATCTAGTGGATTAAAATTAAATTACATGAGTCATTCTGAGATTGAGTGTGATTAGGTTCAGGTGTGTAGCTTTACAATTATCTTAGTGTGTAAACAAGGGTGGAATGAGACTTTCTGGTCTGTAAACTATTGCTTTAAGCAGCAATGACAACTGTTTTTTCTTTGTGTGACAAGTGAGCTGTCAATCACAGCCCAGACCACGCCCAACTCTAAGCCCCCCTTCTTGTCCCTTGGTCCTCCAGGCAACGCCCTTTTTAGAGAAAATTTCAAATCTTCATGTGGGCGGAGTAAGGCTGGGCACAGGTGTTTAGTCGCTCTTTAAGTCTAGGACGCAGGTTTTCATGTTGTAATGCAACACTTACCCCACAGCTGACTGTTTTAACTGCTCACAAAATTATTGAATGAGGACCTCTTTAGACTTGTGATGATAAAAGCAGTCTGGCAGATCCTGTCTCTTTTGATAGTCAAATAAATAAGTCAACAAACTCTGCCCTGACTATAGCCCCAATCACATAAACAAGTCCTGTGTTTTTCTCTGCACATCCTCGTGTCTCTCTATAAGAAGCAGAAATGTGTGGTAAGTCATCCGCTCTGGAGATCAACAGCTGATAGAGCTGTGTTCAAATCCACTACTGTTCTCCGACGGCGCTAACAGGATAAGAATGCATACATTGCCTGCGGCTTATAGTCCAGCAAGTACTGCAGTAAAATGATTGTGAAGGTTGATTAATTACTTATGGTTTTTACATGATTTGTTTTAGACCGTTGTGGGCACAGATATTGCAGACTTATTGTTGAAGGAGCATCGCTCTGTGTGGCTTCCTGGAAAGAGTCCAAATGAAGCCAATTTAATAGATTTCAATAATGAGCCTCTGTCTCGAGCCGAGGAGGACCCTGGAGCAGGACCACTGTCTCTGCTGTCAGACACCTTCATGACGGTTCCAGAGAATGTGGGCAAAGAAACTGAGCGATTCAGAGAACTCCTACTGTTTGGTCGAAAAAAGGTAGAGTATTTTATTATAGTCTGTTGTGAAAATGATATTAATTAAATCTTTGACAAATGCTTTAGGATGCGCTGGAAGCTGCAATGAAAAGTGGTCTCTGGGGTCATGCTCTGCTGTTGGCCAGTAAAATGGACAGCAGAACTCATGCGCGTGTGATGACTCGGTAAATATAAAACGACTGTTGTTTTGTTAATATGTGATTATGTTCTAATGAACATTTGTATTTGTTTTAGATTTGCTAACAGCCTTCCCATCAATGACCCGCTTCAGACTGTGTACCAGCTCATGTCCGGCAGGATGCCAGCGTCCGCTACAGTAAAGACATTATGTGCTCTGGGGTCATTTAATGTTGTGATAATTTTTTATATTTAATTATTCACTGTTTTCTTTTAGTGTTGTGGAGAAGAAAAATGGGGAGACTGGCGCCCTCATCTGGCCATGGTTTTGTCAAACCTTACACATACACTGGACCTCGACACTCGCACTATTGCAACAATGGGTGACACTCTTGGTAAGACTAAAAACCTCTAGTTTATTATTAGCTTGGACCATTTTAGTGCGTGTCCTGGAGGAACATTTTCTCTTTGTTTTTGCAAACAGCCTCTAAAGGACTTGTGGATGCTGCTCATTTCTGCTATTTAATGGCACAAGTTGGTCTTGGAGTTTACACAAAGAAGAGCACTAAGATGGTTCTTATTGGCTCCAACCACAGGTAAGAAAGAATAACAATGTCCCTATAAACGTAAGCGCCGATACTGACAACGTTCCACTGTTTGCAGTTCGTCGTTTTATTTGTTTGCTTCCAATGAAGCGATTCAGAGGACGGAGGCTTATGAGTACGCACAATCTCTGGGCTCACATTCCTGTTCTCTGCCTAATTTCCAGGTGCCATAAAGTTTTTGTTTGTTTGTTGTAAAGCTTCAGAGAAAGTTTTATTTACTGAAATTCTTTTTGGTCTGTACTGTGTATAAATGGATTATTGTTGCGTTCTCTCGAAGGTGTACAAGTTCATCTATGCATGTCGCTTGGCTGAAGCCGGCCTCAGTGCGCAGGCGTTCCACTACTGTGAGGTGATCTCCAAGTCTGTCCTCATGCAGCCCTCCTACTACGCCCCTATATTCATCAGCCAGCTCATTCAGGTATCAGGGCAACGCTACAAATCCAGAAACAACCCATCCAGCCACAATGTTAAAACTATCTTTTATTTTTTACAGGTGTCCGAAAAACTACGATTTTTTGACCCTCAGTTGAAAGAGAAGCCAGAGCAGGAGCTTTTCAAAGAACCTGATTGGCTTCTTTATCTTAGACAGCTGGATGGACAGATGAGGGTAACTCACAAAAAAAATCTTTTTCATTACTAAAAGCGCATCAGTCACATTCAATTTGAAAGCATTCCGTGAAAACTCTGTAAACCTCCTTACATGACTGGGAGTGACAGTGCATTCTTAAAACTATGCCAAGGATCATTCCGGTGTGTCTGTGTGTGTGTGTGTGTGTGTGTGTTGCATGGCTCTGAAATAGAGAAACTCTCCATTCATTCACAGATGACACACTCACAATGGCTATAAAACTAATATATATATTTATATATTAGTTTTAGTGGAGGATCAGAACTACTAATAGGGCGCAGTAGCTCAGTTGGTAGAGCATTGGCCTTTGAGCCAGAGGGTCGTGGGTTCGAGCCCGACCTTCACCATCGACTCCCTCTGTCTGCTGTCGTTGTGTCCTTGGCAAGGCACTTAACCTCTGGGAACACCAGCCACAGTGGGGCGGCTGCGGCTGTAAAGTGCCAAACTGCGTTGTGTCCTTAGGCAAGACACTTTACCCCCAATGAGTCTGAGTGAATGGTTGGTGGTGGTCGGAGGGGCCAATGGCACAGACTGGTTGCCTCGCTTCTGTCAGTTTGCCCCAGGGCAGCTGTGGCTACAGTAGTAGTTTATCACCACCGTGTTTGGAGATGTAAAGCGTCTTTGAGTGTCCAGAAAAGCGCTATATAAAACCGATGCATTATTATTAATACTTTGTCTTGCCTGTCATTGTCTCTGATGGGAATAATTTTTCCCTGATCACATTCCCGATCAGACACTGGTATGTGCAGGTTAACATAAAATACCTGTGTGTTAGTTTGATCATCTTGTTTATTGTTATTTTCCCCAGACTGGAGTCATATCATATAATGCGGACAGATCGACACCAGCTCAGTACGACTGCAGCAGCCCCAGCTCTGACTTTGATGAGCCCAGTCCTCCTGAACCTTACAACCTGCCAGGGGAGACGCACGGGAACCCTCCAGACAACCCCCTAATGAGCTCACTGTTACCTGCACCACATGCTCAGGGAGTTACGCTCATGCCTCCAGGTTAGTATTCTGCAATGGCCCGATTCACAAAAGGAAAAAATCTATTATATCCTTGCTTATCCCTAAATCTCGGAGGACTTTACAAAACCGTTGCCAACACACATCAGAGAATGAGCAATGATTAAACAAAGTTAAAACACATAAAGCCATTGGTTCATAAGGGGCAGATGACCAATGTCCATACATTAAAAAAAAAAGTACTCTTTGTTATTAAACCCCTCCACTTTGAGACACACTGGGGTGACCGGTCCTTCTCAGTCGCTGGACCCAGACTCTGGAACAAGCTGCCCCCTGATATGCCTGTCCTTATAGATTTTGGCCTTTTTAATTCAAGGCTCAAAACTCATTTATTCAGACTTGCTTTCAACACTTTTAACACTCATTAGGTCAGTGCCACTTTTTAAAATGCTTTTGAACGGTTTTATTGTTAATTGCATGAATGTTTTAATGGATTTTGTGTAATTTATTGTTAAGCACTTTTGTCGCATTTTAGTGTTGTAAAAAAATCTACTCCTCTTTCATTATAGCTCCAACATCCATCATACAAGACGGCGTGGCACCACCGCAGCACATGGCACCTCCGCAGCACATGGCACCTCCGCAGCACATGCCACCTCCGCAGCACATGCCACCTCCGCAGCACATGGCACCTCCGCAGCACATGCCACCTCCGCAGCCACCTCCGCAGCACATGCCACCTAATGACGTTCCCCAATTCTACCCCGTGCCCCCGACTGGACCCCCAGGGCAGATACCTTACCCCGGCTATGGCTTGCACGACCAGGGGTATGCTCCACCGTTCCAGCCTCAGCCGGAGCAGGTGGACATGTACCCACCGCAGGTCAGCCCCGTGGCCTCAGTCCCACCACCGCTGCCATCCGCACAAATCCACCCTCCCAGCGCTCAGATGCCCACCTCCCCTGCCCACGCCCCACCTGTCGACCACCTGCCCCCCATGGTTCAGCAGACCATCTCTGCCTCCCCTCCCAGAAACTCGTTAACGCCGCAGATGGACTTCTATGACCAAATGGCACACATGGTCAGTTTATAAGTCTTGATATTTGATAATAGTTAAAGGTTGCACGGTGTTAAACAAGAATGTGTATTTACCCTCTTGAATTTTAGGGTCCTGGAAGAAGATCCAGAACTACTTCTCAGTCTTCAATGCATATGGTACATTTTAATAATCCATTGACTTACTCATTTTTATAGCTATATATTTGCACATGTCCACTCATTTGGGCAATAATAATGTCAGAATGTACAGATGTAAACGCATACAACTATACATTTCTTGCACTAGAATATACAGTATCTTATATTTGCTTCTACATAATGCTTAAGTCAAGACATTTTATACTTAGTTCTTGTTTCTTTATTGTGCTAATTTTGGAGTTTCAGTTCTCAGGTCCTGGGTCGCAACAGGCCCCTTCCCTTCCCAGGGCCTAAGTGTAGTTTGCATGTTCTCCCCGTGTCTATGTAGGTTACCCCAAGGTGCTCTAGTTTCCCCTACTGCTAAAAACATGTACAATAGGTCTGGATTTAATGAGTTAGTGAATGGATGGTGTTGGTTGGGGCTTTGATGCGCCAGTGTGTTGGGCGCCTCTCTTCCAAATGAATGGAAAAATATCTGAACTCTGAACATAGTACAGTGTTTTGGGTGACCTAGGTCTGTAAAAATGCGCTATATCTATAAAGATTACTTACTTACTCTGAAATTCCTCCACTGTGGGACAGATATAGCATCTCTTAAAGGCACACCGCGGACTTTGTGACCTAAAGAGTTGACACATGAGTTATTTTATATGAATACTTGGGCCAATATACAGCGCTTGACACTTGCAATGCTCCGAGCGGGGCTGCCCTCTTGAAATACCGCCCATGTAAGTTTCGAGCAGACGGACCGTCTGCCACCAGGTCACGTGACTTGGAAGAAAGACTTGCTTTACGGCTACAGGCGCTGATATACTCATGGAGCTAAGGCTTTTGCTACTCATTTTTCACCTGCTCGACTCCTGGTCATGGCTGAGGCAAGGAAAAATTTTAAACCTTTGGAGGAGGCTAAAAAGAGGAAACGCGAAAGGGATCGTGCTGTAAGCTGCATGTCTGTATGAGCGCTGCTGTTCACCTGGTTCCTGGATGTCATCGACCGCAACGATGTCATTCCACGCAGCACGAGCTAGACGCAGAACTCCCTCATCCAGGATATAGAAGTCCATGTGTGGTAGATTACTAATGCAGCGGTCTGGAGGCTGACCACAGCAGAGTCTCTCAATATCTGTAGGCATGTCTCTACAGTTTGAACACACACACCAGTGCATGCTGTCTGAATACACACTCAAAAGACACCGGCTGACTGTTTGACTTTTGCGACAGTGCTGAGTTTGCTTGTGGCCACTAGGGGCGCTAAACGTGAAAGTTGCAGGTCTAGCGCCCCTAGTGGCCAAGAGTTACACGGTGTGCCTTTAATCTGAATATTTCCATTATTATTATCGTTGTTTCCTAATGAAAATAATATGCTGTGTTTTTATTGACATTCTCAGCCATCCGGACGGAGATCTCGCACCACTTCGGAATCATCCACTCATTCAGGAGGAAGAGAAAGGAGCAATTCTGCCATCAAGCAAACCTCTCCTCCACCGCCGCCTATTCCGGAACAGCCGAGACAAGAGGAGAAAAGACCCAAAAAAGACTCGCCCAAAAAGGTGTGTGTTCATTTCAAAAACTCAAATCAGGTTAAGACAGAGCTCTAAATCAGGTACTCTGGAAGAGGACAGAGAGAGACACCAGAGAGAGAGAGACACCAGAGAGAGAGAGACACCAGAGAGAGAGAGAGACACCAGAGAGAGAGAGAGACACCAGAGAGAGAGAGAGACACCAGAGAGAGAGAGAGACACCAGAGAGAGAGAGAGACACCAGAGAGAGAGAGAGACACCAGAGAGAGAGGGAGACCAGAGAAATGGCAAATAAACTGAATCTGAATCTAAGACCTCTTTCCTAGAACGGAGGACGTGGCTGGCTGGACTGGCTCTACAGGAAGGGGAAGAACGAAGCTCACCTGCCGGACGACAAAAACAAATCTGTAAGTTACTGAATACTGAACATTTAAACAACTATTAACTATAAACTAACTTCTACTATGAATGCAATACTCTTCATTGTCAGATTGTGTGGGATGAGAAAAGGCAAAGATGGGTGGATCTGAACGAGCCTGAAGAAGAGGTTTGTTTCATACATTTACTCAGGATGAAACGAGAGCCGCTCAGTTGAGAATTTCTGCTTTTTTAATTATTGTGGTCAGTCAAAACCGCCTCCGCCGCCTCCGTCTGGCTTCCCAAGTATGCCCTCGATGCCCGGGCCTCCAGCCATGTCTCCTCCCAGTGGTGGACCTCCAGTCAACATGTTCTCCCGGAGAGCAGGTCTGAGTTAAATCCTACTGTTATTAGTAGTTACCGGATTAGTGTTGGAGGGAAAAATCAATTATGTGCAGTATCGCGATATTTTGTGCTCGCAATTAAATCTATAGAGTAGAACAGTATTGCGATATTTAAAGGTGTATATAGGAGGAGTTTCTACTTCCGGGTGGATCATCAAGACTATTGGTCCTTCTAATTGTCAATCATTCTGGTGATACATGCTCGTTCAAGAAGACTAGAGAGTTTTTTTTTAAGTGGAGAGGGCTGTTCTTTCCTGAAATTTGGGGAATCCTCATATACCTTTTTTATTAAATAATTATCAGTTTACGAATTTACAACTGAGGTTTATGGGACTCTATTATGTCTTCTTTTTTAGTGGATAATGTAAATTAAGAGCTGGGAGCTCACCTTCATGTGAGAAGTCGCCTGCAGAGAATAATTATTCCTTGTCCTGAATGTTCAAGGATAAAGTTATTGCACTACCCTCCTAAGCTTTTGCACTTAAGTTAATGTGCAGACTTGGGGTGGGAACCTAAGGGTACCTCACGATAACGATAATATCACGATAACGATATCACAATAACGATTTTCTCACGATATGACGATTATTGATATATTGGTCAGAAATATACAATATGCCAGTTTATGGCATAAATAAAAGAAAAAAATACACTTTATTTCATGATAAATGGAATGGAGATGCGTAATGTAGCAATATATTAAGTATTGATACCAATTTTTTTTTAAAGAAAATTGTTTTTTTTGTTTTTGTTTTTTTTAATCGATTTCGATACTTGGCAAATGCATATCGATTATCGAATCGCGGGAGAAAGTATCGCCTGTCACACCCCTAGTGCAGACCATAATAAATGTGACATTTGAGTTGAGGAAAAATTGAGGAATATAGGACTGCTCAATGGCATTCTTCAGTATTGCCTTGGAATAATAAGAGGGATGTGAGTTGCAATATATCACAGAATCCAGTCATAATACTTCGGTTATCGCAATATGTTTAGAATCACAATTTATTTTATTCATTTATTTATTTCATGCAAAGAGTGGTCCTAAAAAAATAGAAAAAATAAAAAAGGAACACATACATAACCTTCACAGATGCTTGAAAGGGAGTGAAGAAAAGTTTCTCTGAGGACAAAGTAAATATGTGCTTTCTTGTTCAATTATCAAACAATATATACAATAATATTGAATTGTGGCCCAAATATCGCAATACTATCTAATTGTCACATTTTTGCTATTACCCACCACTAGTTTTGATGCTGTTTCTAAATGTGTAAAACAAAGCTTGGATTTCCTTTTGTTTGCTCGCTCAGGTACAAAGAGCAGATACGTGGACGTTCTGAACCCCAGCAGGACCGCTAACGTCTCCGGTGGATTAGCTCCAGCTCCTGCAGATATCTTTGCTCCCCTCGCTCCAATGACCATGCCCGCGAATCTGTTTGTGCCTAGTTCAGGTCTGTGTGCCCCGAAGATTGTATGTTCTGAACTCGGGTGGTTTCTCTTGTTTTACTGAAGTATTTTTGTTTTGTCGCTTGTAGCTCCTGACGATCAGCAACCTTTAGAAGGCAGCGATGGCGGCGGTCAAGAACAAAGTTCACCCACCGCGAGCACAATTCCTCAGGTGACTGGTCAAAATATTATAGCTGTTGGAACATATTGACTTCAATCAACAACAACAAGATATATTTGAAATTCCTCATACACAAAGTTCTTAACAAGAGAAATTAAAAGCATGAATCAACCGATCAACAGTATTTTAAAAAACAAATGTAGTGCAGATACATCATATACAACTATTTCATATTCAATCATTGCAGCATAAAATTATAGAGCTTAAAACTATTTATTTTCGATATATTTCAAACCTGCACAATATATATATTACATGCCACATCAATTTAACAGACAAATGGACAGATAGATACTTTATTGATCCCTGTTGGAGAAATTCTGGTGTCCAGTAGAAGCAGAAACACATCCATCCACACAAACAAAACAAATAAATAGCTAACAATAGTATTAAAATGCAACAGCACTTTAGGTCACAGCAGCAGAGGTGGTGTAGCCGCTGGGTGGAGCAGGACTGGTCACAGCAGCGCATAACTTGTACCTTGTTTGAAATGGGGTTTGATGAAGCAGATGGTAAAGGCCCGTCTCATCAGGATCATATTGTAGCAGCATGAATCTGAAATGCTGCCTCCCCTTGTTTAGTCCTGACTCTGGGCACCAGCAGGAGGCCAGTCCCTGTACTCCTCAGAGTCCGAGACGGGTCATATGGCACTAACGGATGTACTTTGGTGCGAGGCCATGGAGAGACACACCCAGAGTAGGGGTGGGCAAAATATATCGTAGACAATAATATCGTGAAAGTCAAGATATGCTTTTTCGTATTATCGTCTTTTTTTTTTCCAATACATTATACAATTAGAGAAGGACAGATGCCCATTTGTCTAATGTGTGCCTAAAAAGCCAATCGCTGCTTTATTTGTACATTACAGTAAAAATTGAGGATTTTTGGATGTGTTCTTTCTGTGTTATTTGAATTTGATTTTTAATGTGATTTTAATATAGATGGCCTGGCAGCAAAACATTGCAGATCATTTTGTGTAAAAATTATTGATATTAAAGATATCATGACAATATAAAGTTGGGAAAAAAATATCGATATTTATTTTTGTCCATATCGCCCACCCCTAACCCAAAGCTGCTTGAAAGTCTATTCTCTGAGCCACATGAAGCCAGTGCAGAGACCTGAGAACTGGACTAATCTAGTCTAGTCAGGACACTACTGGAGAGCCCAGTGAGCAGCCGTTACAATAGTCTAAACCTCCTGGCGACTTAAACATCCTTCCTATCTTTTTCTTCACATATTTGATTTTAGATGTACAACCCCACACTGGTACCACCTGCCCCAGAGATACCTTCTGTGCCTGATGGCTCTACATCTGGAGAGGTTAGACCCAAACTTACTTTTTTTAAATCATGCTACCGGTAGTTTCATCCTGCCATTTCTCAGACCCAGCTTTTCATGTAATGTTCTGTGCTTTGTTGTGAATATATTGTAAAGGAAAAAAACGGCAATGTAATTTGGGATTGCATGCTTCAGTAATCAACTCATTCTCACTTCCTAACTGAATTTTGTGTTTTAAAACTGGCTGGTGGAAGGGGGCGCTGTCAAATGCATGAGAAATTGTTAATACCGGTTTTTGTGTGCTGTGTGTTTCTTTCCTGGTCTCTTTAGCTGTCGCGTTCTAGCTCAATGAGTTCTTTATCGCGTGAAGTGAGTCAGCATTTAAACCAGGTATTTTAATGCCATTGTTCTCGTCCCCAACAAACGCACCGATGGAAGCATGTCTGTCATTTTTGCACCCACAAGTCTGCAGCCTGTCCCGTTTGAAGATCCTGCCACCCTCCTGCCCCGCCAGCATGAATGACCTTTGTGTATACGTAAAAATAGAGTAGAGTTTAACAAATTTGCAGTTCAGAAAGACCGCCGTATTTGTATGACTAACACACATAGCTGCATTTATGTCTTCATAATTTCTTGCATGGCTCTATACTAAACATAGTGTCTTATTATCTTATCTTATTTATGTTTTTTGTTATTCTTTTGAAAGACAAGTTAATGTACACTGCAAAAATGATAAAATATGAGGTTATAATAGCTTGAATTGGCTGATTTTTATCCTAACTCACATTCTGACTGTGTTAAAACAGTCAACAGCCAATGGGACAAAGCCATTTAGTATTTTGTCCCAATATTTTCTCATTCCAAGTGAGAAATTTCTTGTATATTTTAAACAACAAGATCGTTTTGCTTTGTCCCATTGGCAAATCTTGTTTTAAGGCAGTCAGAATGTTCTCAAATACATACATGTCTTGTGCAGTTTTTAACTTATTTTTCATCACTTTTTGAAGTTTGTGGTTCATTTGTCTTTCAAAAAAACAACTCAAGGCAAAATGAAACTTTTTGAATCATTACTTTCATATAGTTTCCCGTTTCAGCACCATATTAACCATTATTTTCCGCTTAGGGTCCTCCTCCGTCAGGACCTCCGACCACAGGAGCTGTCCCCTTTTACAACCCAGCTCAGTTCACACAAGTGCGTTCTCGGATTTCAGATTTCTCAATGTTGCGCAAAAATCTGTCTAATTATGGTCTTGTTTTTGTAGCCAAGTGCAACATCTGGCGGTGGACTACGGTCTGGGCGATTGGGCGGACAGCGGCAATATCCGGGGATGAAGTAATCCTCCAACGAGACCTTTTTCGTCTGCTGACAGTTTGAAGCACATGGAGTCGGACTTTGCCTGCTTTAGCAACCTTCATGTTTCTGCATTGGAAAAGCATTCTCGCTACATCATATTCTTGTCAATGCACACGACCTGTTATTGTCTGTGTTTTAACTGGCATAGTGTTACCTTGAAGGGCTTTACATTCACTGTTGCATGTTTATCGGTTAGAATCTCCATGTACGAGTGAGGCGACCAACCCTCATAAGCTTTGACTGTGCGTGTAGCAGTTTGAATGATTGCTTTAATTTTCCTATTTTCACCAATAATTATTAGTTGCATTATAAACCAACAACTGGAGAGGTTGTGTAGTACCGGAATACAGGTATTGCATCTGCTTGTTTTCTCCTTTTCTATCAAAAAGGATGAAAAGGAATCTTGCCTGAGAATGATGACGAAAGATACATGATTTTCAGATATTTATTTAAATGTTCGAGTACGTTTCACTTTTGTCTCTGAAATGTGAAAGAGTTCTATTATCTTCCAGAGATTGGGATAAAACAGCATTTTAACATGACACGGTATCAAAATGTGTGTAAATGAGATAGTATTTATAATCAGCAGGCCTCCTGTGTGCGTGTGTATGTGTAATTAGCTTTATCAAATCTTATCCATGACAGATCCATAGCTGCATATTATGCTAGAAAGATGGAGCATCAATTAAATGTGAAAAGTTCTATGTTCACAAGATATTTTAGTTAAAGCATTGTGCAAGTTAAATCAACTTAATTAGACCATTGTCCAAATTTGTATTTTTAACCAGTGTCTAAATCGCTTGTGTACATATAATATAAAACAGACTAAATGAATGCAAATAAAATGTATTTTTAAGCTCTGTGGCACTTTCAATGAAACTGGAGTTTGTGTCATTCCTTTACAAAACGAGTTAATTATAAACATACTATTTAATAAATATAACACATAAAAAGTAAGACATGGTTCATTTAAGTTTCCTTGACAGCACTGGTTATGTCACTTTCTCGATTGAATTAGTTCCCAGTGCTGAAAGTGCTTTTTTAACTGCTGCCTCCAGCAAAGTATGATCACACAACAACTGATGAAGAGCAGCGCGATCCATCTCCAGCAGCATACCTAACAATGAACAAATATACAGTTAGAATAACTCTTAACACAATTAAGTCATATGTCCACTCACCTGTTAACTCATTTGCATGATCTTGATTAATCTGCTGCACTAGTGAAAATAGTCTTTCCCCAAAATCATGTGGGTCATCAACATCTAAAGAGTCATTAAGATCTGCCTCCGACTCTCTGCAAACACAGTAAGACAGTATGTTAAACTTTATTGTAATTATCTTTTATCTCTTTTATCAGTACATTTTTGGTTTACCGTTTTAATGTCTCAAGAGCTTGGTTCACTTGCTTTTCAAGCAGCTTGGGGTCTGAAAGAAGGTTGAGCACTACATACTTTTTCTGCTCTAAAAGCATCCCTGTAATATAAAAAACACCATGTGAAGGTATCCATAATGAATGTCACACTTAATATAAGGAGACTGGAATACCTGTTATCTTCTGTGAGTAACCTGTGTTGTAAAGATCTACCAACTCAAAAAGCTGCTCTCCCAGTGAATCAGAGGACGTGGAAACATCCTCCGCGGTCGTGAGTCTATTTTTGCTAAACACACACAGTTCTGAATGGTCTTAGAGATGTGGGATTAATAATTTATATTCAAATACCTGGGTTCGTCTGTTGACTCTTGCAGTGCTTTGTAAGCCTTGTCGACTGCTGCAGTCAGCATAGCTTCATCCTGTAGCAACTGAACCAAGACCGCAGATGGTAGTTCCAATAACATGCCTACAACACAATACAACTGTCTGTACTAGAGACAGTGATGAAAAATGCATACAAAACGTGTCTTACCTGTTAGTTTTCCAGCGTTGTCTTTATGCTGGTTATAAATCCGACTGTATAACTCCTCACCAACTCTTTCAACATCTACCTCCATAGTTCAAGCAAAGTCGCAGTCAGTGGTAAATCATCTTAGTTTATGACAGACCGTGTGTGTGATTTATCAAAATGACCATTTTCCTAAATTCCTATAATATCCATCTTTATCATGCAAAAGTAACGAACACAATAAATAAAGGCACAACTTCAATTTAAAGCTCAATATTATTGTCATAATAGATCCCCGGTTATAGATCATGGATCTGCGTCGCTCTTCAGTGCATAAACAAACGGCGCGGGAAAATGACGTAGGGGCTGTAGTTCAGCCATCAGTATTCTTCCGCTGACCGACATACATAGACGTCGGAACTAGGGGTGCGG